CCGAGCCACCAGCCCGCTCTGCCGCGGCGGCTCCTCCGGGGGGCGTCAGCGTGCAGAGGTCATGTCTCCCTCAGCGGGTTTCCCCCAAGGCGTGTCCCCGACGCGGGGCTCATCTCAATGGCATCTCTTCCCAGGTGCATATCTGTGCAGAGGGTCTCTCCCCTCAGCGGGTCCCCCCCTATGGCAAGCATCCCGCCAGCAGGTCTCCCCTCAGTGTGACTCTCCTCTTAGTGGGTCTCTTCTCTCAGCAGGTCTCTTCCCTCAGATCTCTCCTCAGCAATTCTGTCCCATGGTGGGTATTCCCTCAGCAGGTCTCTCCCCTCAGAAGTTCTCTCCCTTCCAGTGAATAGCACCTCAGTAGGTTCCCGCCGTGGTGGGCACCCCTTCAGCGGGTCTCTCCCCTCAGCAGGTCTCATCTCACAGCAAGGTGCTGCTCCCCTCATCACCCCAGCGGGAGGGTTGGAATGACCCTGACGGGCAGCTCCTTTCCCTGCAGGCCTGGGCAGTGCTCTCTTGTGAAGACACGAAGGAAATTGTCTGAAACACCCGCTCATGTGCCTGCAGTGGATGAGGGATCTGGGTTTTAAATGGGGCTTTGGGGTGGTTTTTCCTGTCACAGCTGTAAAAGGGGTGTGTTTGATGCAGAACTCAACACATGAAGCCTAAACCCGTGTTTTTTATAGAAATACAGGCTGTTCCAGAGGTAGTAAAATCTACAGAAGTGTGTTTGTTGACTATTTGTTTATCATGTGTGGTTACGTGGAGATACCACTGTCTGAGGAGTTCAAGCATCCCACTGCAAAGATTATAATTTTATTGCTGCAGTATCTATATGAAAACTTAGGTGTGATGAGATAACTGTGGGAAATAAATTGTGCCTTTGTGAAACTGACAGTGATACAGGATGGGGACGGGGCAGACAGTGGATGGGATACCCCAAATCCAGAATTACTGTTAAGGACATAATCCTGTAAATCCTGTGAATTTAATGCATAAAGTTCATGTAGTGTGAATACAATCAAATATGCCTTTCTGTAAAGTGTGGTTTTGTTGATGTATGCGAGAGGTTTGCCTCTAGATTCATAGCAAGTTCATGTTTCTGAATCCCTGTTTCTGAACATGTCTGAGGGCTGATCCCAGGGGTACTAGGAAGAGAGAGGAAAAATCAGTTTCCACATTGAAGGACTAACCAAACCGTGCAGAGGCTTCTGCCAGTGGCTTCAATAGCCTCTGGATCTGTTATAATATCCTTAAACCCAAATCCATACAAGCACTTAGTGGAACACTTAGGATACTGAAAAAGGTAACAGGGTTCAATTACACTACAGTGAAATCCAAGATAAAGTCAAAACCCACAAACCTGCGTGCTTAACTAATGTATAACAAAAGCAACACAATCCCCCCATCCAAGCTGACATTCCTCACTTAACTCTCCCAATTATGGGCGGCTTTTGAAGTGTCCGCGATACATTTTATTGAGAAATCGTACAGGCTGGTACAACATGTTCTATTTAGGCACAACAGGATGTGGAAAGGTAGCTTTCTCTTTTTTTTTTTCCTTTAATTTCCTGGTTTATTTCTGGTTTTGCTAAGCTGAGGAAAACACAGATTTCTGCTTTTACATATTTCTTACACATATTTCTATTTTAAATACTGAAAGCTAGAGTGACTCCTTCAAAAGCAGAAACGGGTCTAGCAATTTTTTTCATGTATTATATAAAACACAGTTCTGCACTCAGTAATTTCTTAAAACAGCACAGAAACTTGTGTACAATTTGTGACACAGAACACAGTGTTACAAAATTAACTTTCTGCTCTGCTTTGTTTCAGTTCTCCCGGGTTTATTCTTTGATTACAGCTTCCATTGTTCACTTTGGGAACTGAAATGGTTACTATCAAACTGCTCTGCCTTTCAGTTTTCCGAAGAATTAGCAATGATTTTTATACACAGTTTGCAGATCCCTTCCTTCACACTATTTGGTGAGGTAGTAAAAATATTAAGGGCGTTTATTTGTGGAATAATTGCTATCCATGGAGAGCAGCCACATTTTATATCTGACTATAAAATCAAAGGAAGAACAGGACTGGGATCAAATCAGTAAATTAATTAGAAAAGAGTAAGATAAATAAATGCAATGAGCAAATCTAGATACTGCATATCCTCTGCCTGGAGCTATTCCGTTTGGTAAAGAAAAGATCAAGACAGCTGAAATAATCTGAAGTAGCAACGGCCATGAATGAAAAATCAGATGTAAGGGATACCTGAGGATAAAGAAATAACAGAGCCTTGAGCTTTAATAAACAATACTTCTGCTTCCTTAGCACTTTCCACCTCAGGATCTCAAAACAATCTATGTACACTAAGGAATTAAGACTCACAACCAAGGTCACTGTGCAGCTCCTTTTCCCCGAACAGTCTCCTTTTCCACTAAGGGATGTTGTTCAAAGGATATTGATGGCTTTCTGTATTTGTTTGGGATTTTGGATGCATAGCAGCCCTGCTGGAGCAGCAGCTTTGACCAGGTTTCTGTAATCCAGAAACCAGACACGTGCACCATGAGCCCTTCTGCCTTTTGTGGTGTGGTGACCATCTGTGCTGCACATGCAAGGAATGTCTGAGCTCTCCTGGCAGATAAATAGGGCAACCTCCTTTGTGAGGGGATGAATAAAAAAATTTTCTTAAGGGGAGCAGAGAGTGGTTTATTGGTTTTTGCCTTTGATTGGTTTTACTTAAGCTAGTATTATTATTGTTTGTAGTAGCACTTCCAGGCCCTAGACACTGTTTGTGCTGGAGACTGCGTTAACAAGTGTGTGACAAACCAGAGTCCTTGACCTGAGGAGTCTCACTGCTCTGCCTTGTGGAAGGATTTCTGATGGAAGGCAACAGAATTTCAGTCCATGTATAGAAGTATGTTTTTGTGGACAGTTTAGAATTGGTGGCAGAATGAAGGTAAGGGTCTAAGGATAAAGCTCCAGACTTACCTACCTGGGTCTTGGGTTCAGGTGCCTAAATAAATGATGTGATTTTCAAACAAGGAAGTACCCACCTTTTCCAGTTATTGCTAGTTTGGTGTCAAACACAGATCTGCTGGTTTTAGTAATCCATGTATGGATTAACAGGTAGGAAGAGAACCATTCTGGCTCAGCTCTGACTCATGAGAACTCCCATTTGGGGAGAGTTGCTGTAACTGAGAGCTGGTCTTACAGGATCAAGTCACTGACAAGCACAGTGAACGAACAGAGGAGCCTCGTTGACCCTCACATATGTTGTTTTGCCTTGGTTCTGTCCCATTTGAAAATTGCAGGTACTTATTCTTCCTGGAAAATTGCACCTATCCTTGGCATGGCTAAACACAGGATGGAATCCTGATGCAAATTATTCCCGCCAGTACATCTCCGAGTGCTGGGTGCTGAATGAGGAATGGGAAAGGCTTCTTTACTGGGTAAAGTGGTGAGTAACGCAGCCATCTCATCTCCACTCGTAACCTTTTTCCTTGGGATTTGGGCTAGAATTACAGGGCTACTGAGTCATTTGGGCCTTTGGCATTTGGCCAAGTGTACCAGAGAACATGTACCTGTGTAATTCCACCCCTCAATTCTGCACACCAGTGTGGCTTGCCATGAGGCTACCGATTGAGACAGTTTTTCTCTCTGCAGTGTTTGTATCTGGTGTGTGCCTTTGTCTTGTAGTTTATGATGTAACTTTATGCCAAGACAGGAGCATTTCCTTCTCAGATGTTGAACCAAGGGGCAAAATAGAAGTTGGAATAAGGGTATTATGGTAAAATGCCTTCACTGTAATCTTCTTTTTTAATGGTTGGGGTTTTTCTGGTGCTGGTTTGAGGAACAGTTAAGAAAAGGGTAGTGTATAATCTGTTATAGTAGGCTTGTCATCCGATTCGTAGGCTCAGAGCTGCTGTGGGGTGCTGAGTTCTGGGTGAGTCACTTCCCTCTCTGTTTCCCGTAATGGAGAAAGAGAAGATGAGCTGTTCGTGTAAGTTGAAAAGCATGCTCAGGATGCTGGAGTTCGTAAGGAACAAGATCTCTTTGTCTCTATTGTTGAAGGCTTACCATGACTTCAAATTCTACCCTAGACCTAGAGCAGGGCTGGAAGTTTTAGTCTGTGTTTTGAAGCCCCTCTGTGGCGTGGTCACATTCAACAAACTTGATAGGCAGTGACTCCAGTAGCTCTCCAGTTTCTCATGCTAAACTCTCAGTCACCTGAGTGTAAGTTGTTGCTGACTAACAGCTGAAATTTGGAGCTAGTTCTTTCCACTGGATTTGTCTCTTTTGCTATAATTAGGGAATAAAAAGAAGGATAACATCATAACTTTCTTTGGAAAACACAAATTCAGAATATACCAAATTAAATACAAGAACCAGTTCTAGTCCTTCCCAAATAAAACATGCTGGCATTTACGATATTACTCTTCTAAGTGCACACATTTATGCTGTAGCAGCTTTTTATGAAATTATCCATGACCATAGACGGTATCTGTTTACATCTGCATCAGTGACTACTGATCAAACACAAAAAGCAAAGGTCTGTCTAGCCCTATATCCTGCCTCTTGATAATGGCTAATAACCTGTGTATGGAAAACAGGACAAGTATGGAGTGATACTTCCTTTTGTAAACCCTCCCAGCTTCCAGTGGTTTTTGTTAAAGAGACCTTCCTGAGCTGGAGGCTGCAGCTGTATCATTGTTTTTGATATTTCTTGATGGACCTTTTTCCATAAAATTGTCTAATGGTTTTTGTAAAACCCACTTGTCCTTTTGGCTGCCATAACATCCCGTGGCAATGAGTTCCACAACATCATTAGGCATTGTGTGAAAATTAACTTCCTTTTGTTTGCTTTTGAACTTGCTTGCTGCCTGCCAGTTTGAGTTGGTGCCCTATTATTTCTGTTAAGACTACTTTTAAATAATCATTGCTGTTTACGTTTTCCATGCTGTAACAGCATGTCTAGAACTTAATTGTTGTTATCCTTGTTTTCCGGGTTGGACGGCTCTGGTTTGTTTAAGTTTTCCTTGTGCTAAGGCTTTCTAACACCTCTTGTGCAGCTTTGGTACACCATAGCCCTTTCTGTGGCTTTGTGTTTCCACAACTGCTGGAACCGTGCTCAGTATTGGAGAAATAGGCATACTATGGATTTATTCAGAGAAATAATGCCATTTTCTGCTTTGTCCTCATTCTTCTAGAAATTCCCAACAGGACAGTTTTCCCCAACTGCTGACACCATGCTATTTGTTTTGGAGAGTGATCCACTTCTCCAGGATTTCTTTCATGACTGATTTGAAGCATGGTAAGAATGGCTTTTTCCTCATCTGTTCTTTTTATGCATGAACCTTGAGTTAAATTTACTGTTTTAACATCCACTCACTGAATAAATTTTAGGTTTCATTTTTGGGAATGGCTTTGTGTCATCAGCCACCTACCTACAGCATTTCATAGAGTCATAAAATCATAGAATCAACCGGGTTGGAAAAGACCTCTGAGATCATCAAGTCCAACCCTTGATCCTACACTGCCATGGTTACTAGACCATGACACTAAGTGCCACAGCCAGTCTCATCTTAAAAACCTCCAGTGACGGTGAACCCACCACCTCCTTGATCATTTATGGAGTGGGACACAGCAGCAGTCCATCACAGACCCTATTCTGGGTCTGTTGGGAGCTTCCAGCATCACTGGTGCTGAACATCCATTTCTCTTGGTTATGATCACCAGTTATGTCACTCATTCTCTCTTTCATTCTTGCAGTAAGGCTCATTTATGAGCTGGATTTCATACCATAGTTAATAGTCTGGCAATTTGCCATGTGATACCTGTAGGATTATCAATTAATCCTCATGTCGTGTTTTCATCTGTGCTGCTGCCCTAAATTCATTCTCCTTGCAAAAGGGCTGTAGGTCTGTATTGAACACGAGTACAAAGACTCACTGAGCTTTCCTGCTATCGCCTCATCACCTGGGACTGTTTTTTAAATGCCTCAGTCCTTGGTTCTGGAACTGCTCAGGCTGAGGCCCAGATTTACACATTGCAACGCTGTCTGTAATCTTCTGTGGTCAAGTTGCTCTGGGACTTTTGTCCCAGTATCTCTGTATCTGTCTTTAGGGATGACACTGATTCTCTTACTGGAGAAATAAACTGAAATACGTTGGTGTGTGATGTGGAGTTAGGAAGTCTAAGCTCAGAGTTATTCTAGAAGTGGATGATTCGATGGGACATCCTAAAATAAAGAGCAGAGGGAGAGAAAAGGGAAAAATAAAGTAAACAAGCCCCCCCCCCTTTCCTACTTATGACCTCCTCTTTTCCTACTTATGCTAACAGGCTCCAGTTTTGGCATTTTGGATGACTGAAGCTTTTCAGTTTAACTGTTATGTGAGTAACATTACTCAAGTTCATTTATATAGTACTGGATTAATTTGTATAAAGAAAATTATAAAGAAACACAGAAAAACATTTAAAAATGTAAATAAACTGACTTTCTAATTACTCTGTAATTATTCTTTTCTGTATAGAAATTCTCTATACCTTACTAGGTTTGTTCTTTTCTCTAATGAATCAGTTAATTAAAATGCAGCATTTGTCCCTTTTTTCAAAAAAGCAGCCACATACTTTGCAAACTGGATTAGAGAAATGATAACTGTAGGATAATTCCATGATCAAGCAACCACTTGCCCTACAAATCATTCTGCTTCATCACTCTATGTGGAGAGAGGAAGGAATGGGCTATGAAAAGCATTCTAAAGGTTTATTTTTGGTGAGTTCTGCAAGTGGCCAAAGGATAGGGAGCGCACAGTCAAGAGAGCACTGTCTTGTTGCATCTGATTGCCACCCACTGAAATGTGCATTACCCTCTTTCAGGAGGAAGTGTGGTTTTTTTCAGGAGACCTACTTGAGTTTCATAACATGAGTTTCATTAAAATCTGTCCTGAGAAATCGTGAGTTAACAGAATGCAGTTCCTATAGCATTAACCTTTCCCAAATGCAGTATGTAGTAATCACAGTTCTGGTAGATTGAGTTTCGTGTGAGATCTCAAAATGTTTATTTTACAGCATCCTTTGCTGTGTTTGTGCAGCGTTGCTGTTGCCTTTCTCCAGATGGGAACACGCAGGAATGCAGGAGCCAGGTGGTTTGCTCAAGGACATGAGAGTCTGTCTTCAGTGCAGTTAACCACTGCCTTACTGGCACTTGGGGTAGCTGTGCTTTGGTCTGAGCGGTCACCTGGATTGTGTTTACTTCCCTCCGTGGGCTGCTAGCATTCCTTAATTCCATGTCTTGCAAGAAAGTTCCCCTGAGGATGTGTAGGGCCCTGAGCAACAAGCACAGCGTGAGCGGCTGCAGAGTCTCTTTTGTCCAGAGATCCTGTTAGTGGAAGACAACTGCACCCTGTGGTTCTTGGGCTCAGGAAGGATGAGCCTCACTCACGTTTTCTTTCTCGGTTAATTCTGATAGGATTTATCTGTCCTAAGAGTAGGAGGTGGGGAAAGCACAGAGGGAAAGCACAGAGGTTTGGTCTGTGTTCTACCTGAGTAGTGGTTCCAGCTTCAAAAATCAGAACACTGCTTTTGGTGTTGAGAGCTGGTAGTTCTGGTGCTGGGTGGTGGAGCTCTGTCTGAAGCATCACCAGCCTCACAGTTTTGCATGTGGATGGGAAGCAGAACCCAGGCTGGCACTGAGAGCCATTGTTGACTGTAGTGAGGACAGAAACCCAGAGCTGAGCGTAGCTGAGACCTCAGAAGTCTGGATTGTCAAACCTTTGCTTAAGAGCATGGGATATTTATGGCCTTGATAAAATTAGGGAAGAAAGACGAGGAGCATCTTCTCATGTACTTGTCTAAGTGTGTTGGGAAATCCTATTGCTGAGGTTTCCTAAAAGATGAAAAACTTCTCAGATATCTCCCTCAGCATTAAGAGTGTCAAAACATGAAAATTAAAATATCCTCAGAAACTGGGAAGTCTCAGTGTGATCTTTGAAGATCTTGCTGATGTTGGGGTTATGGTTTAGCATAGTTGGAGTCTGGTTCTTTCATTAGAAAAAACAGAATCAAATGCAAAAATGAAAATAAAATTAACACTTCTTCGGCCTGAGAGAAAGAAATTATAGATCTCTCAAGTATATGCTACCTCACAGGCAGATTGTAATGAAATCCAGCCAGATTGAAGGGAAAAACAAAACCTATTGATTTTATTCCAAGGGAAGAGAGAGAAAAAGAACAGATGTGTGGAGTCTTCTGTCCATTCACTGCAATCTGCAGTACTGACTTAAAAAAGATAATGGCTTAAGCTTTGTTTCTTCTTGTGCTTCCCTCTGCAGAAATGCCCTGCCTTAGTCACCCAAAAGATTCAGTTTGGGGTAGCAGAGAGGAGGGGGAGCAAGGACCTCACACAAGAACTGGCCTAAACTCTGAGGAGGTTTGTATAATCTAATTTACAATAAAATAGTATTTACAATGTTATCAGACAAAGCTTAGCAGTGTTAAGTTAAACAGCATATAATGTGATTAGTGGGGCAGTCATGCCCATGATGTCATACACATTCTCTGAACTCTTGAAACGGGCAGATAATGTCTCAGGCATTTGTTCTCTTATGACACAGGAAAGGCTCCATGGAGCTCTGGGGGCTGGGAAGGCTCTGTGCATGTTCCCATGTCCCACAGCACTGCAGAGGCTGCTCCCCTTGGTGCAGCACTCGGGCTGTGGTTGCTCCCTGCCGGCTCTGTGCTGTGGAGTGGTTAAAACAGGCCTTTGGGAATAGTTTAGAAGCTTGAAATTCTATTCTTGACTCTGCCACAGACTTGGGTTTTGACCACTAAATCTTCTTTGCCTCTGGTAACTCCATTTTTAACTAGCAAAGGTAGTCAGCTGTGTCTGTGGAGTGCCCTGAGTGGGAGTTGTATGGAGATGGAAACCACTGGCATTCTGTTCATTATGCAGAACAAATACAGCTAGACCACAAAGAGCTTTGCTGTAGCAATTTCACAGCTAGTAATGGCCTATTCAGAGAAAATTAAATCTTTATCTTTCTGCCTCTCCAAGGCATGCAAAATGGTATTAAAAATTTTGGCTAATCTAATTAATATGGAAAAGCAATATAAATCTCAGCTATAGATTCACATCAAAGATAATCTGGACTGGGTTTATTTTAAAGCGTGTTTTACTTTAAAAAAAACTCTTGCTGAAAGCTACTGAATGAGGCAAAGCTCCCTTTAAATTTTCAAGTTATTGTAGTGGTTGTGAAAGGACAAATTCTGGAACATTTTAAGAGTATTTGACTCCCCCAGGACCATCAGGGACAATAAGCCCACATTGCTTCATGCATGTTAATGTTTAATAGAAACATGAAGATTGCATAAACATTCTTTCTGCCATGGTGTGAAGGCTGTATAAATTGTTTAACTCTGGGGTAGAGATTGACTAGATAGTATTCCTGTTTTCAGTGATGCATGGAATGAATGTGGGCTAGCCTCAAGTTCAAATGGGAGTTGCAGATGTGGAGAATGAAATGGGGGCTGCATACAGAGCTGAAAAAGCTGAAGGAAAGTGATGGGCAGGAAGGAACAAGTGAGCTTGGAAACTATGGCTCATGCAGTGTCAGCTCTATTATATGTTAACTGCAACACTTGCACGATGCCCATCTTTTCTCCCGAGCAGTCCCTGCCTTGGCTGCAGCACTGCTGTGTGTTCATGGCATGGCTGGGATGTGTTGGAAAGTGCACACAACAGTTTTGTTTGGCGGCAGAGGGATGCCAGCGAGAGTAAATCTTTGCTGTTCAGAAAGCATAAGCCAAGCTTCTGTCTCTGTGGCTGATAAATCAGGAGCAGGGGCCAAGTGTAATATGAACAGAGCATTGGCCAGTCTGGTCAGACATGTGGGATGTACTAACAACAAGAGGGAATGAAAGCAAAGCCTGCAGGTAGACACCTTTTAAATAATCAAGGCTGACAGTTTTACTACAATGGCACAGTTTAACACTTTGTAGGTATGTGCTACGGTATAGGTGCTGCTTATATTTAGTAGTCTGCAAGCATTACAAAGCTTATTTAGAGGAGAAGTTTTATTTCAGGCATTTTTATGTTTGTTAATATAATTACAAATGTAATATCTTGTTGTTGCAGATGGTATTGCCAAGGGACAACTCTGAATGATGTACCAAAGACATTTAAATGACCTAGATTAAACTCACAGAGGACTGTGCGTTCCAGATATGTTCTCAAACAGAGAACCTTTCCAGGAATGAGTATTTCTGTTACTCCTTATTAAAGACATGTACAAATACTTATGTGATACCTGGGCAGTCAGAGAAGTTGTGTGGAGGCAGAATGCACACAGTGCCTTGAGTCCTGAGGACTGGGCTGGGTTATGGACACCCTGCACACTGTGATAGGATGTTCTGTCCCAAGCCTCAGTTCACCTCTCTGGAAAAAGCATGTGATGCTGTGTGCAGCAACTGGCCTAGGAAAAGTATTTTGAATTTCTAGTGACAAAGACCAATTAGGGACATACACAGTCCTTAAAGCAAAAAACTTCACAAACTGTAGAGCCTGAAATCTCAGTGAGCAAAATGCCTTCCTCTCAGCTCTCACAGGAAGCAAGTTAATTGGGAGGCCAATAACTATAATGAGGCAGAACCTGGGGTTTTGCGTGTGTATGGTGAGATCCTCCCCTTGGGGCCAAACTCCTGTTCCATATTATGAAAGCAGTAAAAGGTCCCCTCAGCAGGTGCTGCATAAAGGCATTTCAGCTTTGCCTTTGCAGTGTTGGAATTGCCAAGCTATTGCTTTCCTGAGTCTCCAAATGAATTCCCCTACTCAATGTGGAACAGCTGTGTGAGAGATACAGCCTTGAGAAAAGGGGTGGCAAAGGAACGCAGCAAATGGGGATTTAATCAAATAGCACAGGGCTGCAAAACGACATCAGCGTGTTCCTGCTCAGCTTTCTTTGGGAAAGGGAGACCCTCTCAGTATCAAAGTCCAGAGAAGAGAGGTAACATGTGCCATTGAGGCCTTTCTGTGTGACGAGAGTGAGGGAATAGCACTGACTGTGTCCATTCATGTCTCAGTAACAGCAGGGTTACCTGCAGTGATGCCCAAGAACTTTACATCTTAGAGAGAGATGGTTCTTTTTTTACCCACCTGAGTGTGGCTGCTGCCTCTGCAGAGCTAACACAGGATGGCTGCCCCAAACACCCAGGCTTTGGCCATTTGAGCCAGGAAGTGGATCAGGAACTGTGATGAGATGGGATAAGTCTGAGAGGATGGAAGCAGTTCTTCTAGTAGACTTTAATTAGGTCATTCCTTCATATATGATTGTAGAAGTAGTTGCTTTCTTCCTCATCAAAGCCTTCCAAAACATGGTTTGCAACAAAAAAAAACTGTGTCAGGTGAGAAAAGATTATATTAAGGACCACAAATTGAGAGAGTTACTGTTTTTTACTTGCACTGCTTTTATTTAATACTTTTTGAAAGGAAAGTTTGTTGTGTGTCTGGTCTACCTATGTGAATTTTCAGAGTGCTTCCTAAGAGGTTTTTGGCAATTTATCAACCTTATCAGATACTGACTATGCCTGTTTGATGTGAGTGATTGCTTAGTTGTAAGTGTTATGTCTGAAATATAAAACAGACAGGGAAAAAAGGAAAATGAAGAAGAATTTGTAACAAGCAGAATATAGCTGGCTAATTACTGTGGCAGGATAATGTCTTAGAAAAATCCACACCATTATCAAACTGCCATTTTTTCTTGTTTCCATGACATAAAATTTCTTTGAAATCTTTTGGTTTAGAGTGCGTATGCACTTTAAATAGTGATCAGAGCTAAACAGCAGCATCTGTCAGAGAAGATAAATGACCTACCAGCAAATCCTCTCAGTTAAAAGCAAGACAAAATCTATGGAGTAGGGGAATGAGTTTTAAATTAGTAATTTCACTTAACTTTGCCCTAATGAAGGGCTAATCTTTGGACCCCTGCAAAACAAATGAGAGCATCTAGTTAGATCCAGCGGAAACCGGTCATTGAAAAGGCTTTTTCCTTATGAAGCCTAATTGGAAGCAAAGTAATTCCTTTGATAGCTGTCTTCATTTACCAGTATCTTTCCCTCTCCCTGATTTATGTACAGTAAACTAACGACTCTGTTAATTACAAACACATTTGTGTGTTTGCAGATTGACAAGTCACTCTGCCTGGGTGAGCCTGGGGCGAGCAGTCCCAGCTGAGGTGCAGGGATGTGCAGTGCCAGCTCTGTGGGGCTCCTGAGCACACACAGCCTCCCGGGGAAGGCACTGAGGGAATGGCTCGAAAAGAGCCTTTCCTGGTGAAGTGCAGAGTGGGCCACTGTGGAAATGAGCTAAATTTCCACAAGTTAAAATCTCACCTGGGATTTCGAGGGTATTTTACTCATTAAACTAGCTTACTCTTCTGTTTTTATACATAATGGCAAAATAAATTTTTTTCCTCAAATTCGAAGAAATGATAGAAAAAACATTGGACACTTGATTGCTGTAGAAGCAGGATTGTGCCTTTAAGGCAGAGGGAAGGAATGTGTCAGTCATGGCCCCTTTAAAACAGGGACTTATCTTGATTATAGTGTTAGCTTGGTAGTAGAATATGATCTCATCACTGTGAAAGATTACATGAAGTATCAGCTTGGCTGGCCTTGAAACAGCTCTATTCTCAGTTGCATTTTCAATTGCTGCAGCTGACATGGGATTCTGTAATTTGAAGAGACAGCCACAAAGATGGCTTGCAGAATTTGGCCTATGTATTCAAGTAAAAAAATTCAGGAGTGGATTAAAGCATGGCTGCCTCTGACGTTTTCTCTTTGTTTATTTTTTGTTGTTGGTTTGGTTTGGTTTTGAGAATGTCAAGACCTAGCAAAACTTGAACACCCTTAACTTTACAGTACTTAGAATATACATCAAACCTGGGAAGATAAGACACCTGTCTGGTGGAAAGTCATTAAAGTCCATGTAGACTAAAATGTGAATTATTTTCCACCTTCAAGGAACGATATACTCAATAACATTAAGTGCATAAGACAGTTTTGAGCAGTAGGTGTTCTGGGTGCTGTAGTCAGGGAGTGGTTTTTGTGGAGCACACGATATGCTGTGCTCGTGCCTTCAGCTGTATGTTTGCTCTGAAGCCTTGAAACCAGATGACATCTTCCTAAGTGAATGAGAATTAGGTGTAATTTATTCTTGGGTAGATGGTGTTTTTAAAAGAATAACTTTCTACCTTGAAATAACTTTCTACCTTGAAATTAAGCTGTAGACTAATTATTTACTCAAGATGATGAGGGATCTCTGGTGCTGAAACTGTCAGTCTGGCAGAGAAGAATCTACCTGGAAAGTAAATGACAGCTGAGTACTCAGCTGACAAGTCTGATATTCTGAGGCAAAGTCAGAAGGTCTATTAATTT